CCCCCTCCTCACCCCCGCTCCTCTCCCCCTCATCTACCGGGTGTGTACAGATTGGTCACAATTCGAAAAAGGAAAAAATAAAAAAAGGAGAAATTGGCGAATTTCCCATGTATGATGTGTACGGTCCTCAGGCTTGTCCTCTTCTCCTTCTCTGCCTACGGTTTACTGGCCGGTTCTGTTTGGCCATATACAACACATAGGTCTCATGATGAATAAAGGTCTCTTGTGCCTACTTTCTCCATATATAGATGGTCAAACAAAACTGCCTGGTAAAACCGCAGGCAGAGTGGGAGAAGAGGACAATAAACAAGGGCCCAGGGCTGTGTGACATACATAGTGTTTGGTTGGAGTTTCACTCACCGACTCGTCAGGAGACCGAAACCCTTACAGTCCGCAGCCCCCTTACCAATGATACTGAAAGTGATAAGACAGTTAGTTGCGATTAAGCATCAAAGACTGCCCAAAAACTGATTCTCTCTCTCTCTCTCTCTCTCTCTCTCTCTCTCTCTCTCTCTCTCTTTTCTGTGTGTGTGTGTGTGTGGGATGTGCTGGAGCCTCCCACGCCGGGCATGGGGGCCAGCATCTGTTATCGGCTACCTATTAGTCCCTCAACCATTTGGGGCCTTGAGAGAGAGGGTTAACAACAGACGTTATTTACAGGTCACTTTCAGCCGCTTTAGGTCCCCACCTGAAACTCCTCGAATGACCTGAAGTGGCTGAAGCTTCTGAAAAGGGTTTCAGGTACCCCCATCCAAATGGTTGGATGGGGGTACCTGAAACCCCTTTCTGAGGCTTCGGCTACTTCAGGTTGTTATTGCGGTTTCAACTCCCCACCTGAAATTCTCGAAACGACCTGAAGTGGCTGAAGCTTCTGAAAGGGGTTTCAGGTACCCCCATCCGACCATTTGGATGGGGGTACCTGAAACCTCTTTTAGAAGCTTCAGCCACTTCAGGTCATTACGGCGGTTTCAGGTCCCCACCTGAAATTCCTGAAATGACACGAAGTGGCTGAAGCTTTTGAAAGGGGTTTCAGGTCCCCCCATCCAAATGGTTGGATGGGGGAACCTGAAACCCCTTTCAGAAGCTTCAGCCACTTCAGGTCGTTCATGTGACACACAATGACATTAAACCGAAAAGAAAAACAGGCAAAAAAAAAAAAAAACATAAAACTTGTCCTCCAGACTACCCGAAACTTCTGAAATGACCTGAGTGTCGTCAGACCATTTCAACGGTTTCAGACCACTTCAGAACCTTTCATTCTGAAATTTCAGGTGGTCGTTAACTGTGAGTGGGCCGTGAGCCAGCAGCCACCTGTGTATTTTGTCTTTGTGCTGAGTCCAGGTGTATTTCAAAGAAATTTTGACAAGTGTTTGATTTATGGATTTCCTCTTTGCACACGGGCCGTGCTAATCTTCTCTTTGTGTGTATCGTTCTGACATCAACAAATGTGCGAAAGGATGCGTGTGCGCATTCTGTTCTCCGTACTTTTTTTTTTTTTTCTAAATGCAGTTTTATAACTTTTATTGTGTTTGGCTCTTTTTTTTTTCAATAACTGCTACACAAGTTCTGTTGGTGTCAGGGGTGTTTTCTTTCAGGCCAGCTCGTTTTGTCCTGTGTTTACATCCTGCTTTTCAGGACTTTTTTTTTTTTTTTAATTTAAACCGAACCATTCCATTATAGGCCAGAAAGCGGGTCCGACGTCCCTCGCATTAAATCCGCAGCCGTGCGGTTTGTCTTTAACTGAGCCATTCCATTATAAGACATTATGTGCCAGTTTAGGACTTTGGTGTGAACAGGCACAGGTTTTGTACATTCATAATATTATTGCATCCAGAGTTGCCAGGCCGAACGTACGGAGGCCCCTGAGCTGACCCCTGAACGTTCGGGCGTTTGGGTCCCCGTACGGGGCCCGAACCTGAAGGGGTTTGGACCCCACAAAAAAATATTTTGGGACCTAAATATTATTATTTTTTTCTGAATTTTGTTGGGACCTAAATATTGTTATCTTTTTCTGAATTTTGTTTTGTGATTTCTTTGTGATGGAAGGTATCCCCCTCTTAATTTTGAAGCGGTTCTGTGCAGCAAAAAAACAAGAAAAATTGGCAAAGATGGTGGTGTCAAAACTTGCTTGCCCACTCACTAATTTGTTTTGTCTCTGTTTTCAATTTTTGTTCTTCCTTTATTTTGGGGCATGAAAAAAATATTATTTTTTCAAACTTTATTTGTAGGTTCTCTATTATGTAAGATACACATATATAAATTTTCATGGCGTTTGTCGCAGCCAAAAAAAAAAGAAAAAAAAGTGCCAAAGATGGCGATGTCAAAAATGTGCTCGCCCACTATTTCATTCTCCTTTTATTTTTTCTAATTTTGAATTTTCATTATTATTATTTATTTTTAGTATTTGACTTTTATTTCAAATCTGGTAAAGAATTTGGATTTAACGTTGAGGCAAATGTTGTTTAGTTTATTCTTCTGCATAACATATGTTTTTTTTCAGATTTTTTGGAATTCGTTTTTTTTTTTTTTGGGGTCCGCGTTCGGCCGAACAGCTGAATGCAGACCGCGTCGAGAGGGGGTGTCGAACGTTCGGGCGTTCGGGTTTGGGCGTTCGGCCTGACCCGAACGCCGGCAACCCTGATTGCATCTACATGATTTTTTTTTTTTAATGATATACGGTGAAAAAGAGAGAAAAAAAAGGAACAGGTACAGGTTGGTGGCAAACTTTGCCCTGTTATTAAAAAAAAAAAAAAAAAAAAAAAAA